TGCTGACACAGCAAGAAATGGCTGGTCAGGGATGGTCTTCTAGGACAACAGGCAAGGGGGCCTCTGACTCCAAGTCTACCAGCCTGCCCTCATCACAAAGGCACCTCCGGAAACAGCCTAGCAGTGCTGGTCTCCACCTTACCCTTGGGGGATGCACAGATTTTGAGGGAGCCACACTGCAGTCCTTTACAGCTGGGGAGTTGTGGTGAGCTCTGGTGTTCGATGACATCACAAGAGAAACTACCCTGGGGGAAAAGCTAGAAAACCCATCAGGGATAGAAAGTAGGTTCAGAAGGCTGGAGAGCTGAGGTGAGGCTAGAAATGGCAGAGAGGAATAGAGAGGAGATGGTGAAAATGGGCAGATGACATGAGCAGTCATGTCCTAGAGGGGCAGGACCAGTTTGGAGGCTGAAAACAGTGAAGCTGAGACATTTGCAAGGTTTCTGAATTGTTCTGCCTGAGGCCAGCACACACAAATATGTGACTGAAAGGGGGCCATGGTCCTCAACTCTAGCACCCATTAACTGTAAATGGATTGTATCATTAATTCACATACAACCAAGAGCTTGCCAGTGAGATTAAAATCCCCCAGCCAGGTGTAGCGTTGCACTCCAATAATCCCAGCTCTCCAGGAGGCTGAGGCAGGAGGATTGTTGCAAGTTTAAAACCAGCCTGGGCTATAAAGTGAGCCTAAGGTCAGCCTGAATTGTATAGCAAGACCCTGTCTCGAGGAAAAAAAAAAAAAAAATCCCATTCCCCTTGATTAAAATGTGTCTGAACTTTACAGCTACTGAAATGTCAAAGAAAAAGTGAAAAGGCCTGGGGTATGAGCCTCAGCACCACAAAAGAAGCAAAACAAAACCAAAACCTGTGCATCTGAGAAACAATGTGATGCACCCCCATCCTCTGCACCCTTTTTGGGGTTGGGAGCAGCAGGAGCAGATCTTAGGCTGGCCCAGAGCATAGAAAGTGGATGAAGGCTGCCGGTAGAGGGGATTAAATGCTTTACTTATGCAATTGAAAGCTGATAAAGGATGTCGACCATGGCATCCCTCCTTATAATTAAGTAGATAATTTAATTACTGCTATTAAAACCTAAGGTACCCCCCACGTGGGCTGCTTTTAGCCAGAATACCTTTGGTTCTGCTGTTTCCCACACGCAGACCTGGCAGCCGTTACAGAGACACTGAGTCTCCAGACTTCATCTTATGAGCCCATCTGGTTTGAGGTAATACAACAAGCAGGAAGGGGGATTGAATCAAAGGCACGATTTGTGTTTTTTAAAACACAGAAAATGTGTGAGGTAGCACCAGGAGAAAGGTCTCATCCGGCTCACTAGGCTGGATGCCACAGCAGGCCCTGGGGCCCTGTGCCCACCTGCTCCGTAGCTGGGTCCACAGCATGACGCCAGAGATGGCTTGAGGGGTGGAGGAGGGGGGGCAGAATGGTGCAGATGCAGGATAAAGCTGGCTTGCAGAGGTGGAGGGAAAATGTAAAACACGAATATCCTGGTGCCCCAGAGACTCACAAGAAGCTCCACCGTTTATAGCCAGCTTCCTGTCAGAATCACAGCAAGAAGGGGAAACTGAGACAGGCAGCCTCTAGAACTCAGGCCACTCCAGGTAGGCGGCACTGCCACCACCTGTATCACCCCTGCATCCTACATGCCCTTTTGCCATCACCGCCAGCCATCACTGGTCAAACCCTGCTCACTGTCTCCTCAGGGCTGCTTTGATCTGCAGCACACCTGGAGCTAACTGCCCTGTGTTCACAGCTGTCATCACAGGGATCCCACACACTGCCCAGACCTCCCCAGTTAGGGTGCTCTCAGGGCCAGCGCTGGAGCCCCACAGTGGCCAGGGTCTCCTCTTCCTCCAGATCTTGAGCCCAGCCTTCCCCCTCCCCCACTGCCGTACTCCCAAGCAGCCTTCCTTTGTCCTGCTGTCCAATCTCAGAGCACTCCTATCTCTGCATCCCAAACACTTCTTACCTGGGGAACAATGTGTAACGAAGTCTTACAGGAAGAGCAGCATTCACACCCTAAGAAAAAGGTACCAATGTTGAGCAGATGTCAGTGGGTCCCTGGCAGGCCTCGTGTGGATCTGGGCCTGATCTCATCCTCTCTCACTTAGTCAAGAGTTTATTTCTTGAGTTGGGTGTCACTTTTTTTTTCTGCAGGATTTTGAAGGTTAAATAAGAGTTCAGACTTTCTGAGGTAATTTTTGGTCCACATTTCATCCTACCCATCCAGGTGCCCTGGAGACAGGGCTCAGGAATGTGGCCCCTAGACCAGCTGAGGGACCCCTGAGGAAGATGCTACAGGTAGTCTAACAGCTGGTGAGGAGACATCTGGTGAGATAAGATCCCCTAGCCCCAAGTATTATAGTAGCTTAGAGAAGGTGGAGCAGGCCCTGTTCAAAGAGTGGAAAAACCATCTCTTTCAGTCTATCTATAATAGATTACCACTAGCCAAGTGCCTTATAAACAATGGAAATTTCTTTCACACAGTTCTGAAGGTGATGATTGTAGCCTCTGAATTTTATGTGTGTGTGTGGAGGGGGAGACATAAATATTCAGCAAAGAATGGAAATTGCTGGAAAGCCATCTCTAGGGCATTTAAGGGCTGTGGATGCTCACTGAGCACTGGGTAAAGGATGAATGCGAGGAGATGGTGAGAGCCACACACTCACCATGTAGTGCATACTGCTGTTTATAAGAATTTGCAGGCAAACTCACCCACATGGGTAGGAGTTGTTATCCAGTGCAGAGTACGCAGGGTCAGGATGGTGATCTTTTGTATCTGAGCCACTGTACACTAGGAGCAGAGTGCAAGACCTGAATTTTCATTTGAGGTGGGTAGAGCTGTGGGTTGAATCAAGGGCCTCCTGCATGCTAGGCAAGCCTCTGCCACTGAGCTATCTACCTCCATTCCTTTCTTTCTTTCTTTTTAATTTTGAGACAAAGTCTTGCTAAGCTTATCAGGCTAGCCTTGAATAAGTGAAACTCTTGAGGGGGAAAGGAAAGTAAAATTTAAAAAGAAAAAGTGAAAAAAAGAAGAAATGGAAACCAACCTTTTGCAAATGGGGAAGAGAAGAGGGGTTAAAGAATCAAGAGGGGTTAAAGAATCAAGTTATATCATGTACAGGTACAAATTCTCTATCATTTAATGTGATTATGCACACCTAAAATGTATCAGTAAAATCTGATTGAAGTAAAAAAGTGAAACTCCTGGTGGGTTAGCCTGAGAAGCTAGGATTACAGGCATAGGCCATCATATCTGGCATCCTGAATGTTTAATTTCATTCTAAGTCATTAAAATATATGCAGCCACATGTGACTAATGGCAGGCCAGTTGGAAAGCAGAGTGACTCTCCATCAGGGCTAGCTATCATACTGGCAGCAGGGACATCTGTCTCTACAAGGCCAGCAAGCTGCCTTATCCAAGGGTCCCTTGCACTTTGTGGTATTTTCCACTCCTGTTACAAACACTGGCACTGTTATTCATTCAAGGTTAGACTGTCTTCACTTTAACTTTGAACAAAACTAAAGCTGAAGTCTAATGACAGGTCTCCCCTGTGTTTCTGGGGACACCCTGGTGTTGCAGTGTGTGTGAGTGTGTGTGAGTGTGTGTGTGTGTGTGTGTGTGTGTGTGTGTGTGTGGCGCGCCTGCTGTATTCCACTGGGGAAGCAGGCTGAGACACAGCTACTGCCCTCTGTAGGGCAAACCCCAGCCTGCCACTCCTGCCTACAAGTGGTGTCCCTGGCTTCCCACTGAATGAGGTGGGGGGTTTTAGTGCAAATGGGTATTTGGCTGCTAAAGTAGGAACCCACTATCACAAGCAGCTAACCCAAAGGGAGCTCTGCAGTTGGGGGCACCGTGGGGAGCAGAACTTGGGAAGAGTCATCTACAGTGCTTCCCTAAATCTGAGTCCTCTGGTTCTGTCGGCCACTTGAGCAGCCACTGCAGACACCATCATGCCCTGCTACGAGGTGCTCTTGGAGGCTTTGCGTGCACCTGCCAGCCCTCCCTTTCTAGACTGGCCTTATGGGAATGGTTCTTGCTTACCAATTAGTATCTTATCATTTTGCCATACCAGGGCAAACACAGCCAAGGAGAGGTTCAATATGGGGTAATATCTGGAAATACCTGGGTATGCCCATGGAGAGTGTTTCCCAGGATGCCACTGCCACCTGGAAGGGTAAAAGCCAGGCAGTCATTTGCCACAAACATACTAAGGCAGGCACAGAAGGCAAAGGATAGAACCTGGCCATGCACACTTCCCGTTCATCTTGTGTCCAAGCTAGCCTTGACGTTGACCGGCTGTCAGCTTTTCCTGCTTGGACTCAGGAAGGGAGGGATCAAAGGGTTCCTCTGGCCCCATCCCTGGTGTTGAGTTAACGGGGAGAGGTCCCTCAGCCACCTGGTCTGGGAAAAATGCTTCACAGATGAGTTTTGAGATGACTCATGACCACTGTCATTGTGGCCCCCTGTCCAGGTCACTCTGTGAGGACATTCATAGTGAATAAAGTCAACAAACAGGGGAAAATGCAGGCCTCGGCTGGGGACAGGCCAGGGAAATGCTACAAGAGCAGAGCTGCCTGTTTTTTTCTTTGCACAATCCCACCCAGGTCAAGGGCTTTCCCAAGGCAGAGAGCAAAAAGTTAGGATAAATCCATTGATGGGACTGCTATTTCCAGCTTCTTTGAAAAGCCTGTAGGATGAGCCCTGAAAACAGGGCAAGGTGTGGGCCTAAGTCTTAATGTAGGGACGGTTGCAAAAGTGAGTAATTTAAACGAAAAGAGCTCACAGCTGGTGTGGGTCCTGCCAGCTCTGGGCCGTGGGATGAAGCAGGCCCACTGAGGGTACCTCAGGAGAGGACAGCCCTGTTCAGAGGGACAAGGGAGACTGATCCACCTAATGCCTTGGAAGAAAGGATGTGATCTGCAGCCTGCAGGATCTGGAGCTAGGAGGTGTGCAAATAAATGGACACACAGACCGCTTCCAAAAAAGGCGAAACCATTTATCAATTCAACGCTGACGCATTATCTACAGTATCTACATATATCTACACATATCTACACCGCCTGCAGGCGGGGCTCTGGGTCGTCTACACTGCAAGTGCCGGCAGGGCGGAGGCGACGCAGTCTTTGGGAGAACAATAAATACCATTTCCTTCCGCCCTAGACCGGGCGCTTTGGCACTGGCGGGCGGAGCCCTCGGGGCTAGGGAAGGTCCCGCGTTCTCCTGGAGGCTGGAGGAATCGGATGCTGGGATAGTCCTGGGGATGGAGAACCCCGATGGTTTTGAGGCCGGAGGAGCGACCCGTAGTAGCCCCCCGGGTTGATGAATGAGTCTTCTGAAGGCCCTCGGGCTTTGCGGAGCACGGCCCGCATTATCTGGGGCAGTAGTCGTAGGAGCCCGGCGGCGGGGCCCCGGCCGACGAGTACATGTTGGCAGCGGCGGCGGCGGCAGCGGCGGCGGCGGCGGCTGCAGCGGCGGCCGGGCTCACTGCGGGGTGGTGGTGGTGCGGATGTGCGTGAGCATGCGGGTGGTAGCCGTGGCCACGGAGGCCGGGCAGCGGGTAGGGCGCTGGCCGGCTCTTGGCCCCGAGGTAGTGGTCGTAGGCGGCGGCCGGGTACTTGTAAGGGTGGTGGTGCAGCGGCTCCGACGCGCCGGGCGCCTCCAGGCGCAGCTCCGGGTGCGGGGGGCTGGGCCGGCCTGCGGGCGCGCCGGGCAGGGGAACAAGGCCGCCCGCGCCGCCGGCCCCGGGCAGCGCGGGGCTCAGCACCCGAGCCAGCAGCTGCGGTGGATGCGCGGGGTCTCCGAGCATAGCTGACCCGCCTCCTTCGCGTTCGAATTCTCTCCGGGGCTCGGCCGCGTCTGCGAGAGGAGCCGAGGAGTGAGCGCGGCGGCTCCGGACCGCCTAAGGCCCCGAGGCGGAGAAGCGCTCCGGGTGGGGCGGGGGCTCTTCTGGCCGCTAGCCTGACTTAGCCTCTGGGCCGCCAGCCCGAGCCGCCTGCCCGAGCCCTCCCCAGGGCCCGCGCCCCTCCGCGGCCGGCAGCGGGCGGGGCGAGCAGGCGGAGCGCAGCCGTCGGGCAGGCGAGTGAGCGCTTGCCCGCCGCCGCGGCCGTTGTGCAACCGGCGCGAAGGCCGTGAGCGCCCCGGGCGGGGGGCAGGCGAATCCGGGCGCGGCCGCCGAACCCGGACAGAGCTCGCGTGGGGTCGCGGCTTGGAGCCCACGACCCTGGCCCTACCTTTCTCTGCGCCGTTGGGCTGCGTGGGGGAGGCCACAGGGTTCCGCGAGCGCGCAAAGGCGCTCATGAGCGGCAGCGCTCCAGGCCGGTGGTTTCGTGGCCTACGAGAGGTGAGCGGGTCAAGGTAGAGCCCCTGTCAGAGCGAGGGCACTGGCTAGCTCTTTGGAGGACACTTACCAGTCCTCAGGGTCACAGTCCCGGAAGCCTTTGGCGAAAGGGTTGCTGGCAATCTTCAGTTGCGTGATCTGCAGGGAAGCGGGCATGAGCTAGCGGCTGGAGCGCTGCAGCCCGTGGGCACTTGGCCTCGGCGGCGGAGAATGGGGAAGTAAGTTAGCAGACGCTTGGCTGAGACTAGAACTAGCCCACATCTCTTCCCATATGGTGCCTCCTCTCTCACTAGGGAACTCTCTGCCTCTCCAAATAAATGAAGATGAGGACCTGTGCCTCTAGTTTGTATGTGGTCACTACAACCCTTGCCCAGATGGAGAACTGAGTGAGCGCCCTAGGAATCTGGGTAAACCTCTGATCAGGTCCCTGATGGGGAGTTTCCGGAATGGTCTGGAAAACAAACTTTCAAGCAGCAGTGACAGTTGCTGCCACAGAGGTCAAGCTGATAGGAGGCTGCACCAGCCTGGTGGGAGGGGGAGTGGGCAGCCAGATTCAGGAGGGCGGTGGGGAATGCTCCCCTAGATGTACTGTATTCTGCTAGGACACCCACAGCCTACAGCCCTGAACTGTCTGTGCCCCATGAGGCAGCAAACGAACAGTTGTACCCCATTCCCAGAAGGACGGAACCAGTTGACCCCCAGGACCTCCCTGCAGGCCCTCACCCGGTGATTCTGGTAGGCAGTAACTGCAGTGAAACGCGTCTCCTCAAACACAAAGGTTTTGAAGTTCTCCTCTGCATACTTCTCGCTGTCTTTTCGGGGATCCACATAGACAACGTGGAAGCGGGGCTGGTATCTGTGCATGGAGTTGAGAATGATCTGGAAGACAGAGTGGGGGGGTCAGCTGCAGTGGTGGGGGCTGGACCAGGATCCCAGTCTGAGCCGGGAATCTGGTGTAGGTTTGAATAGGCAGTGAACTTCCTTCAGTAAACTGGGGCTAAACTCTTAACTCATTAGATGAGCCAGGGCCATGTAACCCACTTGGGACCTCTGGGAAAGATGCCCCCAATGGCAAGTGATCGGTTTTAGGTAATCTTTTCTCAGGTCCCTAGCAATTGCCTCAGGGCCGGCAGGGGGTGGTCAGTCAATGGGAGGGGGAGCTCAGTCTTGTAGGAGAGTAGCCACACTGGCCAGAATTCCATAAAGCCTCCTGCCCTACCCCACCATGCACTGGTCTATCATTTCCAATTGAAAAGCTTCCAGCATAAGATCCAGAGAGGGATTGAAGAAAAAGAGGTTGACTCTACTCGCAGGCTCAACGCCCACTCTCTAGCCAGAAGTCCATTCTCTGAAGCCTGTCCCTGCTCAAGTCCCCTGCCTGGCAAGCACTTGTAAAAGCCTGCCATAAGGACAGCCCTGGAGCCTGGGAGAAGGTGTTGCTCACGTGGCCGTTGTCATCCAGCAAGTTGTTGGTCAGCTTGAGCTTGTCAAAGGACACTATTTGCTTCATCCACTGTGCACCCTTGGCCGGCGAGTCTGGGTGGTAGTGCACTCGACCCGGAGTGGCAGGGTCTGCCTTGCCGGCCACCAGCCAGGAGGAGCTGTGGAAGGCGTACCTAGGGCAGCACCAGGGAAGCAATCATGCCACATTGGGGGTGAACAAAAAGGGCCTTGCTTCATGTGCTGGGTGAACCCCAAAAGTACCTCCAGAGAGTTTCCCTGCCAGCTACATCAACCCCTTCCATGTCACATGTGGGCTGGGAACTTTAACAAGAGGATTGTGGAAAAACTAAAAAACTTCCATTAACTCCCAGTACATAAGATGACACAAAACTACAACCCTATTGGGACAATAATGAGAGGAAGCTGTGCTCCCCCTCCCCTCCTCACTTCGAAGTATGCGGGTCTGTGCCGGTCTGCTCTTTCCAGCGTGCCGACGACGTGGCAGGAGCCTACATTTGCCCTACTTGCTCTGGGGCACCTTTCCGGCCCAACTCTGGGACCTAGCAGTCCCTGGAGATGGGGGTAGGGTGTTCATGATTGGCTCAAGAGAGAGGGAGACTCGAGAAAATCTGGAGCTATGTATCGAGCTGCCTTGGGACTGAAGCTGGAAGGATTCCTTGCTGTTTGGCTTCCTGAGAATAAGGAGGGGTATGAGTCTGGGGTCTAAAGGAGACAGAAAAGGACGGAGTTGAGAAGGTAAACAGGCAGCCTGCTCAGGTTCCTGGCAGGACCTGCTCAATAGGTGCTTTAGGCCATGGAGTTAGTCACCTAGCAGGGACTTGCTGCTTCCTGGGGTCCCACACTTGACACAGGCCAGATGGTCCCGGGGCTCACTTACCGGTAGCGTTTGTCATCCACTGGCACAAAGTCCATGAGTAGCATGTAGTCAGCCATGGGGTCCATGCCGAAAAGCTTCACTTGGAACGTGGGGAACATTCGCCTGGGGGTGCCAGAGCCTCCAGTCAGAGAAGGGCAGGGAACCCCACTGTGACTTGTCCAGGACTGGCAGCCCCTCACTGGGCCATTTCTCTTGCTCTCCTTTCTGGCTGCTGTGTTCCATCTGCTACTCTAACCAGAGTATATGCCCTGTGCAGCAAGCCAGGCCCCTGGCCCTTGTCTAATGCACTGAAATGGCTAGCACAGCACTGTGCCTTGGAGCTCCAATCTTGTGCCACTGTGTTTTTGTAGAACCGCCTTGCCCTACCAATTCCTTGTCTTCTTAGACCTAAATACAGGATCTCTAAGATGCCAATCCCCAGGTTTCCCTGAAACCTGGTCTTAGCAGAGCCTCCTTGACTTGATCTAAGAGGCTCCCGGCTCCAACAAAGTGAAACCAGGTAGCCCAAGTAATTCTGAGAAGCCCCCAATAGCCCTTTCAGCTGGGTCTGCATCAGTTCCCCAAGTCTGCCAGTAAGGTTGACACCTCAAGCCCAGGATCCCTGTCTCCCAGGTTCTGGCCTGATATTTTTAGCAAGTACCCGCTTCCCCCCAGGCGTGTAACTCCAACACTCACAGCCTAGGGCACACTTAGTTTATGCCTTAACAGTTTCCCAATCTCTCTGGACCACGACTCAGTCATCAACCAGGGTTCTTAAAAGGGTATTCTGCAGCTCCTAGATGAGCTATTGACTGCAGCCTGCCCTAATCTGATGGCACCACAGTACCAGCCATTGGGCCCTGGAGGACAGCACAAAGCTTGGACCCTTCTTGCCCTTCCCACTGGCTTCTTTCGAAGCAACTCTCTGCTGGCAGTAGGCAGAAAACAGATGCCAGAAGCCAGTCTCCTAGAACAGGGCTCCTGCCGCCTCCACCACAGAGCCTCTGCAGGCCACAGGGTGCTGCTGAATATCGCTCTTAAGGTAAAAGCTGGCCACCAACGGGCTTTGCTGGGTGGGCCTGGACCAGAGGCTCAGCCACTATCTTCAGGAGGGCCCATGGACCTAGAGATTGCAAAGACAGCCTGGAAGAAATCCACACAAGGACAGGAGACAGGACAGGCCCCAGGTTCCCCAAAGAGGACTGCGTGGCAGGGAAACAGAAACCGCGAGAAAGCTTTGCAAACAGGCCCTGAGCTCCCCTTGGCTGCGCGGACATAGAGCTGGTGTGTACATTAGACACAGCCCAGCACCCGCCTTTGTCTGCTGGTCAAATCGGGTGCATCTGCAAAACTTGTTCCCCTTCTCTTAGCCCTTAAAGCAAATACAGGCCAATTGGAAGACCGCGGCCAACTAGCGCAGAGCCAGGGCCCACAACCACTCGAAATTTAGGCCTGAGAAACCTGGGTAGGAAATTTCACTGAACTAAGCCCACTGACTTTTAATTCTTTTCTAAAATCGTTCACACAATTGCTCCACTTCTGTTCTTTATCTTGCCCGCGTAGAATGAACTCGGAAACTCAAACAGGATTTTTCTTTAAGGTGGGACCTATGGGGAACCAGCTGAGTAGCCGAGCCCTTCGGTCGCGATTGCTTGCCCCAGATCAGTGCGCTCCGAGGCAGCTGCTTCCTCTTGCTGCGTCCTACGGTTGCAGGTTCGGCGGGCCTGTCCTGGGTCTTCTCTTTGCCGCCCGCTCTGTCCCCTCCCGCCCGGTGCTCACCGCGGCTGTCGCTGGAGCCGGGTCCGCGGAGAGTAAAGGAGGAGGCAAGGCCAAGAGGACCCGCAGGTGGCCGGGCCGCGCCTCCCACCCGGCTTCTAGACCCCACGCTCGTGCATCCGACCTAGGCGCGCTGCCCGAGTGGCAACACGTGGGGAGGGTCGCGGCGCGGGGAGGGGGCGCCCTGACCTGCCGGCCTTGGTGACGATCATCTCGGTGCCCAGCTGATTGAACTCGTCCCACAGCGCCTTCATCTCCAGCTGCACGCTCACACTGGCCACCTTCGCGTTTTTCTTCACCGGCGCCTTGGCGGCGGCCGCGCAGCTGGCCCCGGAGCCCTCGGGCTCGGCGGCGGCGCTAGTGGCTGCCCCGGCAGCCGGAGCGAACGGGTAGGCGTGCGGCGGCGGCGGCGGCGGTGGCGGGCCGGGGGCCCCAGGGACGGCGGCGGCGCACGGGTCGTAGCGCGGCGGCGGGGGCTCTCGCGGGCCGTACGGGTCGGCGCCCGGCGACGCGGCGCCCGGGAAGCCTCCCGCGGCCCCCAGGCTGCTCAGGCTGCTGGCCGTGAAGGCTGCAACGTCGCAGAAGTGCGAAAGCTGCGTGAGCCACGGGCTGGACACCGCGGAGATCATGACCCGAGGGCCGCCGCCGCCGCCGCCGCCGCCGCCCCCGCCACCGAGGAGAGCGCTGCCCCGCGCCGCGGGCCGAGTGGCGGGCGCTGCGCTGAGCTGCGTGCGCCCCGGCCCGCGCCGCCTTACACCGCGGGCCGGCCCCGAGGAGGCGCCCCGCCTCGCCCCGCCCCGCCCCGCGCCCCCCCGCCCGCGCCTAGACAATGGCCTCGATCCCCTCCCCCGTCCCTCGCCCCTCCCCCCGTGCTTTCCCCCTCCTCGGCCCCCAGCCCGCCCGCCGGAGCTCGCTGGGCCCGGGCCCCCCGACCGCCCGGACCGGCTCCCCGGAGTGCCGAGCCCGTCGGCAGCCCCTGCTCTGCCGCCCTCCCGCGTTGTAGTTCTTTTCTCGCTCCCAGACTTTCTTTTCCCAATTTTTTCTTTACCTTTGTCTCCCTCATTTAACATTTTCCTAATCACCTCTCCTTCTAGTATCTCCTTAGTTTCTCATTAGTTCTGTTTATCTCTTTCTTTTTTCCTATGTTCCTGTCCTTTCTTTCCACTGTCATCACTCTTTGTCTTTCTTTCTCTTTCCCTTTTTTCTTTTATTTCTACATGTTCTCTTATTCATGTTGTTTTCTTCTTTAAATAAAAATAAAATCTGGAATCTCTTTTGTTCTTTTTTTTTTAAATTACTGTCTTCAATTTTTCCTTCGTTTTCTCTTTTTCGTCTTGCTAATTTCTTTTTCATGTCTTTCTTTTTTTTCTTTCCTACCTTACTGGGTTTTCTCTCCTTGTCTCAATTTCTTTTCCTCTTGGCCGCCCTCACCATTTTTGTTTGTTTGTTTGATTTGGTTTTTGTTTCTCCTCTTTTTTCTGTGTTCCCTGACACACGGATCGTCTTTTTCATCATCTCTCCTGCCACCTCTCCAAGCTCATGGCCACCTCTGTGCTCAGTTTCCCTCTTCCGGGCCTGCATCTAGCTTCGTGCTAGTCTCCAAGGCAGGGTCCCCAGCTGGTGGGTGGACAGGCTTTGGGGGAATGCCAGGCCTTCCTCCCTGCCCCAGAGCCTGAGCTGCGACCATGGAACCCAACCGGCCAGGAGCTCTATTTGCGGTGAGGCTTCAGGCAGCCGGGGCAGGGGGCTGACGCAGGCCGGTGTTGACGCGGCTAGGAGGCTCACCTTCCATGTCCCTGGTGACTGTGCTGAAGTGCATCCCGGCCGGGGTTCTCGGTAGCCGGCGAAGCTTCGCCTGGTCGGAGGACCCGGGGCCCCGGTGGGCGGTGCCCTCCGAGGCCTCGGCTGCAACCAGAGAGGCGATGCTGAACGCACTGGCCCGGGGAGACAGCGGGCTCCGCGGGTCCATAGGCGCCCAGCGGCCTGGCCGGCGCCGCCTCCGACTGCGTGCGCCCCGCCGCACCGCGCCCAGCCCAGCCCACGGAGCCCGGGGGCGGGGGCCTGCGGTGCCACTCAAAGCCACGGCCCCAGGCCCAAGGGATTATGGCGTCATGGGCCCCCCACTGGGACCAGTATCGGTCCAGGGACTCTAAAGGGTGGAGCACCCTGGAAGTTAAGGGCCCTTCTGCTTTTCAGGCTCCCTGCCCCGCACCTCTGCACCTCCACTTCCAAGGCCCTCAGTGACCAACGCCCCTTGAACATCCCGCTGCTCCTACCCTGGTGCGGCCTCCCTAGGTTTGGCTAAGGCGATGTTGGCTTCTACAGCCGAGAGGCCGATTTGCCGGGAGCACCCAGCCACAACCTGAGGTGGCATGGAGCTGATGCAGCTCTGAGGGGCAGCCTGGGTCCTGTCCGGACCCTACCCTGGCCCCTCCCGCCTCCACCTCCTCCCTGGCTGCCCCTGCACCTGGGTGAGGAGAGAGCAGCTCGGGTTCGCAAGCAGCCAGCCACAGACAGATAGCCCCGGGGCCGCAGATTCCTCTGTTCCTTCGCGCAGTGGGACAGGACCCAGCCCAGCAAATGCCCCACAGACCCCTTAGGTCACCTCGCTGTCGTAGTTGGGGACCCGAGCTGGGGGACGACGCCCAGGCCGCAAGCAGCTCGGGAGCCCTAGCGTCACGGGCTCCCGAGCGCACCGCCCGCCTCTGGCCAGGACGCTTTTACATCCGGAGGGTGGGCAGTGCCCGCTCCTCCGACCTCCCCGCGCACCGGCCTGGTGCAGGGAGGGCCGGGGGCGGGGCCTGGCCAGCTAGGGAGAGGAGGACACGTCGGAGAAGTTTAGGCCACCCGGTCTGATGCGGCCCACTTGCCACCCCTCAGTCAGCCTGCCCACCAAGGAAGGCCCAGCTGCCCAACTAGGCCTTCAGCCCCAGGGCCTGTAGGCGCAGGCATCCTGATGCCAAAGCCTGACTTGGCCTGTGTCTACTATCTCTGAGCCTTCTCTGACCCATTCAGTATGTCCAAGTCCTTTTTCAGGGTATGGCCAGCTGGGTGTCAAGTCTGTAACCTCTCCGTGGCCCAGAAGCCTCCCTCACCCTTCACTGGCAGTCAAGGCCTCTATTTCCAAGGCCTTTCTACCAGCGACCTTGTAGGCCTCTAGCTGTGCTTGCTTGGGATGGGGGAGGTGGGGAAGGCAGCCTCTCCCAGTGCTATTATAATCCCGAAGCCCCAGACCTCAAGGTATAGAGGGTTTTAGCTGGGAGCCAGGAGGGCAGGAGCACTGGGGACTAGGGGACTAAGTTCTAGCAGAAGGGACTCTCTAGCCAGAAGTTCAAGAAGAGCATGAGGCCAGGATTGCAGAGGTGAGTGTGCAGGTGGTGGTGTATGTCTGGGATGTGGTGTGTATTCCTGTGTGTCCTTGGACTCTCAGCCTGCTCCTGGCCTGCAGCTGGAGCCTCGTAGACTAGGTCAAGAAACAGAAGCTGTCACTAGGGCATTCTTCAGGCCCCAGTGGCATTCAGGATCCGAAGGTTGACAGTGACCTGTGTCACTCAGTGACTGTCCTTTAGGAAGTAGAGGAGGAGAGTTGAGGAAGAGTGTAGTTACACTTCCCTCTTTCCTGAGTAGGATCAGCCCTTTGCCTCCAGGACCCCAGGAGGTGCTCCCCTGATGAAGGACAGAGCCTACTGTAGACAGGTGGGAAGGGCGTTGATGGGTACAGGTCATGGTAGTGAAACAGGCTTGGCCAGCAACCAGAGGTGTTTTGGCAGAGAGGCTGTGGGCCTTGCAGACTGGGGGGAGGGAGTCCCCTGTGTGTGGATATAGGATGGGACTCCTGCATACGGTATGGTCTTATCCAGAGTGCCCAGGGCCCCAGCATGTGGGGTGTCCAAGTTTGCATCCAGTGCACCTGAGGGAGCAGCCCCAGTGTGTGCACCGCACAGGCAGAAGCCAGATGTAAGCCCCGGGAAGGCCAAAGCTAAGAGGGAGAAGTGAAAGTGAAAAGCCCTGAGCCATCCCAGAGACTCCAGGTCAGCCCCTTAGGGCGCTGTCTTGAGGTCCCAGACCTCCCCACTGGAGTTGATTAAGGCAGTCCCCCTAAACCCCCATTAACCCTTTTGCGCAGGGGTGGAACTTGCAGGGCGAGCTTCATCCGCACACTCGCCCGCCCGGAGCACTGAGTGCAGGGTGGGGAAAAGCCTGGGAGCAAAAGAGCACTGGGAAGGGGTGGGGGGTCCCACTCCAGCAGCTCTCTCGGTGGCTGAGCCACCATACCAGCCGCGGATACTTACCACCTCGGTCGTGGAACCTCCAAACCCGCAGCTCAACACCAGGACCCTTCGGAAACCCTCAGTTGAGGGAACCCAAAAGGGCCTGAAGCCCTGGAAGCTGAAGGCCTTTGAGCCTTCAACCCACGGCTAAGCCGCAGTCTCCACTAAGGACCAGGCTGGGCCCTTCGGACATTCCTTCCCTCCCTTGGGCGCCGCACCACCCTGTCTGGGCGCTTTTCCGCGCTCTGCCGCCACCAGCAACCCAGGAACCCGCCTGCGCTCCTCTCTACACGCCCCTGCCCCACTCCAGTGTCGGTCCAGGTCGCGGAAGATGCACGCCGCCCGGTGGTCCTATGCCCTGCACACGCCGGCTCCACACGACAACAAACACGGCACCTCGCCCGCGAGAAGTGCGTCCCAACTCACCTGGACCGGCGGCGTCTCCCTTCCGCCTCGCTCCCCCTGCCGGCCGCGCCTCCGTTGCTGCGAGGTAGGATGCCTGGCTGGGAGCCGGCTTTGCGCTCATCAGGGTCGTGAGCTGCACGGGGACTGAATTCTCAGGGTGTCGTGCACAGCTGGGGCCTGAGTTGCTCGGTTCTTTCCGCACACCGTGCAGAGCGAAGACACGACCTGCATTTCTCCAAGTGGGGAGCGGCAAGGTAGGGTTCTAAAACCGAGGCTTGGCTTTGACTTTGGTAGCCACAGGTCAGGGATGGGGACCAGAAGCTTGGGTGAGTGCAGAAGGCTGGAAGGGTGGGATAGGCTGAGGACACCGTCAGCTTTTGCTTTGCCCTCTGGGCCCTGTGCAGCGTCCATCGTGGGCGCTTGACTGCACCCCAGCACTGCCTCTGGAATTTGGTGTCCGGACTTGCTCACCCCCTGGCTGGACATTTTCAGAATAGGAAGTGAAGCAAGCCTAATTTCCGAAGTTATCTCCTTAGTATGCAGGAGGCGGCCCCTGGAGAATCTTGGCTGCTCTGCTGCTGCCCAGCTCCGCCTCCCCTGGGCACACGTGGCTCCCCCGGGGAGCCCCGTGGGGCAGGAGCCCTCACATCCACTGATCTTCACTTCCCCGCGGTTGTAAATACAGGGTGCCTGCCGGACTCACGGTTCAGAATTCACCCAATGCCGCTCTGTTCCCAGGCCTGGAAGGACCTTCGCACTGGTGTGTGTCTTTAGCAAGCTCACAACCCACCCACCTATCTTTGAGCTTTCTGGCTCCCCAGACTAGGTGTGCAGTGCCAGCACTCCCCAGCCTTAGTCCCAAGCTTGAAGTGAAATACAGTTCTGCTTGGGATCCAAGCCGGCGGCGGTCCTGGGAGAAACACCTGGGAGTGCTGGTAGGGGACTGGGGACCCTCTCTCCAGAAATCAGCGAGCAGAAGCAGAACTAGCCTGAGTCCCTCCTGTTGTGTTTCCAGGTAACAAAGGGAAGCTTGGAGAGCGGCTGGGCTTCACGTGACCCTATTAATTCGTTTCAGGAATTGCCTCCTGCTCTGGCCTGGACTCAGCCTGAGTCTCTAAAGAAAGCCTGAACCCAGCCTCTCTGCTGCTGTCAGCAGGTCTGCCCCAAGCTCCAGCCTAGGATGGGTCACGGAGTCCTGAGTCTTAGTACAGCCAGTGGGCAGCCAGGGCTCAACCTTTGAGCCCTTCCGATGGGAGAGGCAGCCTTTCTGGCCAGCTCTGTCCCCTTTCTCCTCTGTTCTCAATTCCTAGCTCGCCAATGGGCACTAGAACAGTGACCCAGGCCCCTAAGGTGCGCTCTATTACCCTTCCATTTCACAAAGACGATTGACCTCATTTGTGAACCAATGAAATATTCCAGGTGACCCAAAAAGGCAGAGATGAGCAGAGAGCTGGTCCTGGAGGCAAGTAGGAGGAAGCTGTGCCACCACACGGTTTTGGGGTTTTGGTCAGTAGCCCCTCTTTGTCTGTAGCCACTGGTACTTATGGGTACCGGGGAAGGAGCGGGCATAAGTGGCTTGTGCGGGGCATACCCTGTAGGTGCCTACCTACAAAAGGCATCACTGGCTAGCACCACATGTGCACCCATGGTGGGTTGCAGACCTTCTGAGATTTTGGGCCAGAAGTGGGGAGCTGTGGGACTTCAGTGTGTCTGGAACTGACCCCAGAACTATAGTCAGACTTGAGGCAAGGAAGGTGACAGGGCAAGAGCAAGATCATACATGTGTGTGGGGTGGGGACAGAGGTGGGGCTTGTGCCTGTACTGGGGACATTGCCTGGTGAAATTAGGGAAGTAGGTAACCCTTCTTCCTCCCCAACCAGAGGTCTCCCAGAGACTTCAGGGCTCCCTACCTGTGGCTCAGGTGACTCTACCGCTCCTTCATCATTGGCTCCCATGGTTTCTGTCCTCTCTGGCAGAGGAAGTCCCTCCCAAGTCCACCTCTATCACATAACTGCTGGGGGAGGGTACTCTCTGTGGATACCATTGAGTAAGACAGCTAGACTGTCCAGGAGCCTCAGACCTACAGTGGGCTTCACAAGAGAGGACAATGGGCTGAGAGGAAGTGTTCCAATATGCCACAGAAGGTAGACATGACACAGGTCTTGGAAAGACTAGGTAGTCAGGAACAGTCTTGTGTATATACTCTGATGGGCTGGCCAAGATGCCAGTGTGGGTGAGATGAGGTGTGTTCAGACAGGGGACTGATCCCCACATGCCTCCAACCGTATCAACTGGGACTCATCCTGGGCCCTAGAACCACCTTGTCCCAGAGCAGAGTCTGACTCATCTCAGAGTCCAAATGTCTGGATCCTGAGGACTGATGACTGCAGGATGAACACAACAGGAAACTGAGATTTAAGGGAGAAAGATGTAGGCGGAGATAATAGGCCTGGGTAGAGAAGAAGACAGGACAGAGAGGCACTTACCTTTGTGACCCCAGCCAAAGTCTATATAGCCATGAGAATTTGGCCACTTGCCTCCTGTCTGCCCAAGTTCTAGCTCTTCCTCCCACCATGGGTTCTATATTCTGGGCCAGGTACTCAGGAGGACAGAAGTGGAGAACTAGGGAGAAGGATGTCAGGCCAGAATGGTTATAGCACCCTTCCCCCTCACCCTGACCTTTTGGGGGCACCAGGGCCCCTGAAGCCTGGAAGTTCCCACAACTCCAGAACAAACAAACAAACAGACAGACTGATAGACAGCTAGGCCTTGGGCCCCTCTCTGATTTCTGAGCCTGTTGATTTAGCTGCCCACTTGGCGGGAGGACCCAGCCACATGGGGAGCTGGCTGTCTATCTTCTGGCCACACTAGCCCCTCCACCCCAGGTGCTATCGGCAGAGGTGAGGCAGACCCCAGATGGCCTATGCTCAGGCCACAGAAATGGCCAGATCTCTGCCTGTGAAGGGGACAGCTGAGGAAACCAGCTCCTGCTAGCCATCT